GTGATATGGTTTGGCTGTGTCCCCATCCAAATCTCATCTTGAATAGTAGCTCCCCTAATTCCCACATGTTGTGGGAGACACCTGGTAGGAGACAATTGAATCATAGGGGTGGTTTCTCCCATACTGTTCTTGTGGTAGTGAATAAGTCTCAGATCTGATGGTTTTATAAGGGGTTTCCCCTTTCGCTTGGCTCTCATTCTCTCTTACCTGCTGCCATGTAAGACATGCCTTTCACCTTCTGCCATGATTGTCAGGCCTTCCCAGCCACATGGAACTGTGAGTCCATTAAACCTCTTTTTCATCATAAATTACCCAGTCTCAGGTATGTTACTCATCAGCAGCGTGAAAACAGACTAATACAAGGTGTATCATCTTTTATCTTTTATACCATATTTTTACTGTACTGAATACTGTATTCAGTATAGTATACAGCATAGTAACATACTGTATAGGTTTGCAGCCTAGGAGAAATAAGGTATCCATACAGCCCAAGTGTTTAGTAGGCTACACCATCTAGGTTTGTGTAAGTGCCTCTACATTGTCCATGCAATTATAAGATAGCTTAACAACATTTCTCAGAACATATCCCCATTGTTAAATGATTCATGATTGTGCTTGCAACACAATTTTAATCATTATTGATAGCAGTCTGCCTTATTCACTCAAAATCTTCTCTTTTCTCAACCCATCATTCACATATGCATACATACATAAACATATTTAACTTCTATAATTAGGTACCACCTTACTTTCTTGACTCTAATAAAAGTAATTTTCTCTCTAATATATAAAAATCAGATGGTTTTACCACTTCTTCAGTGGACCTACAATTTAGGAGTTAACCAATTTCTTCCTCCTTCAACTCAAAAAGCAATGTTTTCTAGTGAGCACAATGTCAAGAACATAAGAAAAACCATCACATACTGCCAGGTGGATATTTCTTATCTTTTTTCTGATTATGAAAATAATAGAGTAAAAACTCAAAATTATTTAATAATAGAAAATTCATTAAACAAATTATCGTATATCCATATGAAGAAATACTATGTATTCATCAAAAAGCAACAAGTATGAAACGTTCACAATATATTATGTGGATAAAACAACTTATGGCTGGGCGCAGTGGCTCAAGCCTGTAATCCCAGCACTTTGGGAGGCCGAGACGGGCAGATCACGAGGTCAGGAGATTGAGATCATCCTGGCTAACACGGTGAAACCCTGTCTCTACTAAAAAATACAAAAAATTAGCCGGGCGCGGTGGTGGGCGCCTGTAATCCCAGCTACTCGGGAGGCTGAGGCAGGAGAATGGCGTAAACCCGCGAGGCGGAGCTTGCAGTGAGCTGAGATCCAGCCACTGCACTCCAGCCTGGGCGACAGAGCGAGACTCTGTCTCAAAAAAAAAAAAACAAAAAACAAAACAAAACAAAACACAATTTATAAGACTGTGTGGTTTAATCCCAATGTTGTTAACAAGTATGAAAAAAAGAGAAAGATCAATTGATTACGTATTCTGTAAGCCAGAACTTTTTAAAATTATTTTTGAGAAACACTATTGATATGCGCAAAGTAAGATGATAGGCCAGGCACTGGGTTCATCTTTTCTCTTCTTTAAAAAATTCAAACTGGTCCAGGCATGGTGGCTCACGTCTGTAATCCCAGCAATTTGAGAGGCCAAGGTGGGTGGAATGCTTGAGAATACGAGTTCGAGACCAGCCTGCTCAACATGACGAAACCCCATCTCTATAAATACAAAAATTAGCTGGGTGTGGTGGCGTGCACCTGTAGTTCTAGTTACTCAGGAGGCTGAGGCATGAGAATTGTTTGAACACAGGAGGTGGAGGTTGCAGTAAGCCAAGACCACGCCACTGCACTCCAGCCTGCAACACAGTGAGACTCTGTCTCAAAAAAACAAATTTTAATTTAAAGTCTAATTTAAATTAGAAAATCACTCCAACCAGACCCAACTCTCTTGTAGGTAACAATAAACTCTAGATCGAAACTAAAACAAAGCAAGAAAATAAAAACCCTGAAAGCAATGAAGAGTAAAGAAAATAATACAAATCTGGACAGGAGATGACTCTGGGGAAAAAGGTAATGGCACAAAGTAGAGTTCAAGGAAATCAGAGCTGCAGGAAAGTAAGATGGGAATCCTGGAAATGAGAGATTCCAAAATTCTGTAAATAAAGCCTTTTCAAATATGTCTCATCTCTGAACTACCAGCCAAGAGCTGCCACCCAAGACAAGATTTATAGTTTAAGTCCAATCAGTTTACTTGTCTGGTAGAAGGGAGGAAGAAAGAAAGGAAGGAAGGGAAGGAAGGTGTGTTAGTCTGTTTGTGTCACTATAAAGGAATATCTGAGGCTGGGTAATTTATAAAGAAAAGAGGTTTCCTTTGCTCGCTGCTTTGCAGGGTTTACAGGAAGCATGGTGCAAGCATCTGCTTCTAATCAGGGCCTCAGAAAGCTTACAATCACGGCAGAAGGCAAAAAGAGAATAGGTACATCACATGGCAACAGCAGGAGCAAGAGATGGGCAGTGGAGGTGCCAGGCTCTTTTAAACAACCAGATCTCACATGAACTCAGAGCTAGAACTCACTTACCACCAAGGGGATGGTGCTACACCATTCATGAGGGATCTGCCCCCATGATCCAAACACTTCCCACCAGGCACCACCTCCAACACTGGGAATCACATGAATTTGGTGGGGCCAAACATCCAAACCATATTAGGAGGGAAAGGAGAAAGGGAAGGAGGAAGGGAGGGATGAAAGAAGAGAAGAAGGGAGGAAGGGAGAAAGGGAGGAAAGAAGGAACCTTTTCAGAGGAATATAACTGAATCTAGAGTCTCCACAACATAACATTCAATATTTTTGATATTGATATCAAGAATACAACCCCAAATTATTCCATATACAAAGAAACAGGAAAATGTGATCTATTTTCAAGAAAAAGGGCAATCCACAGAATCCAAACCTAGATGACCAAGTGCTGAAATTAGCAGATAAAGATTTTAAAGCTTAAAAACATAAAAGAAAATAGGTTTGCAATAATGTAAAAATAAGAAATTGCAGTAGAGGAAAACTATAACAAAGAACCAAATGTAAACTCTAGAACTAAAAATTGCAATGTCTAAAATAAAAAATTCATGAATAGGCTTAACAGCAGACTAAAGATAACAGAAGAGACAGTGAACTTGAAAAAAAGATCAGTATTATTGAATCTAAAGAACAGAGAAAAAAAGATACTTGGAAAAAAAAAAAGTCTCAGAGACCCATAGAACAATATCAAAAGGTTCAACATAGGTATAATTGGAATCCCAGAAGAAGAAAAGAAAGAAGATAAGACAAAAAATATTTGGACAAATATTGTAGATCTTGATAGAGATTTGGATTACACTGACAGATACTTTCGTCAATATTCAACAAATATACACTTAAAATTCAACAAATACACACAAAATTCTACAGACATTCACTTGGGCAGCCTGTTGTGTGTAAAATTTATGCCAAAAGAAGAAAATGTAAAGAGATCGTTGGACCCAGTAAATGATATATATGTTTAAGCGTTTGCAAGGAAATATATTGGTGTCTTCAATTTACTCTGAAATTCATTCCTCTCCAAAAAGTGGATTACTAATGGATAGAAGAATGGATAGGTAGACAGATATTTGATAAAGCAAGTATAGTAAGTAACGTTAATGGCAGAATTTATGTGGTGGACATACAGGTATTCACTATTAAGTTTTTTTTTTATTTTCCTATATGTTTGAAATTTTTCTAATAAAATTTTGAGGGTAAAAAAGCCATTGTGACCTATGGTATTTCAATGGACTAACACAAATTGTTTTTTAAAAAACAAGACAAGAGCTACATGTTGTGTCATTTTCTCTCTAATAATTTGGCTTCTACATCAGCCACATTCAGCCAATGGATCTATCTTATTCAAGTAACTATTTAGACTGGGAAGTAAAGACTGGTGAAGAAAGAAGGGAAGGAAAAGTGACTATTAACCAAATATTAGAAAATAATAAATAAGAAACATGTTTTCTATGTTTACTAACCAATACAAAATAACTCCTTTACTTTTTCATTCTAGACATGTGACGGATAACTGAGGTATTCTAATTACAGTCATCCCTCAGTATATGTGTGGGATTGGTTCCAGCTCTCCATGGATACCAAAATCCATGGATGCTCAAGTCCCTTATATAAATGGTGTAGTATTTGCACACAACCTATGCACATCCTCCCATATGCTTTAAATCATCTCTTAATTACTTATAATACCTAATGTAAAGGCTGTTGAGATAGTTGTCATACTGTATTATTCAGGGAAAAAAATGACAAGAAAAAAGTCTGCACATTTTCAGTACAGACGCAATCATTCTTTTTTTTTCTGAATATTTTTGGTCTGCAGTTGGTTAAATCCACAGATGTGGACCCCACAGATATGGAGGGCCAATTATATATTATTTCTTGAAAAAAGGCCAAATCTACATACAAATTATTGTATTATGATCAGATTTCAAAACGGGACCTTTTAAAACTACTGCACATTAAGTTCTTCTACAGAAAGAGCAAAATATAAAAAGTAAAATAAAAAATTTTTATATGAATTTTGTATTAAAAAATATAAAAGCGGCCGGGCACGGTGGCTCAAGCCTGTAATCCCAGCACTTTGGGAGGCCGAGACGGGCGGATCACGAGGTCAGGTGATCGAGACTATCCTGGCTAACACGGTGAAACCCCGTCTCTACTAAAAAGTACAAAAAACTATCCGGGCGAGGTGGCGGGCGCCTGTAGTCCCAGCTACTGGGGAGGCTGAGGCAGGAGAATGGCGTAAAACCCGGGAGGCGGAGCTTGCAGTGAGCTGAGATCCGGCCACTGCACTCCAGCCTGGGCAACAGAGCGAGACTCCATCTCAAAAAAAAATATAAAAGCAAAATAACAGCACTTATATGTTACATATCGATTTTTAAATCCTGCTATTTTATTGTTTACCTTCAAGTTCTTCCATATGTGAAGGAGTTTCTTGTGTCCTGGGTTGAATATAAGATAACTTAAACTTGGGCACCACAAATGGTACTTCTTTGCCATCAGATGGTAATTTGGAAAGCAAATAATCCTCAGTACAGCCAACCTGAGGCTTTACAGAAACAGAAGTCAATGGAGGTACAGAGATAGTAGCATTTTGACTATGTGGGACTGTTGCTTTAAAATCTCTTTCCACAGAAACTGCACATAAAAGAAAAAAGAAAAGAAAAAAGTCACAAATATGAATATAGGTTACATATAATAATCTAAACCTAGCATACTTCAATATTTATTTAACCATTTTAGAAAAAATTCCTGACATATAAACTACTCTTGGTTCTTACCAAACACTTATGGAATCTACATTAATTTTGTCCAGACAGTATTTGAGGAATTAACACACTATTGTTAAAGTGCATTAACTTATCATAATGGTAAAAGCTGCTTTCAAGTCTTATTCCCACAAGAATTCATAGACGGAAAACAATTTTATTTTGTAGTCAGCAGTGCTTTCGAGTAAAAATCTAGTCATTTAAAACTACTGCCAACAAAAGCAATTCTTGTCAGTACTACCGGTTAACATCAGTCTTAATTACATAGAGCAACACTACAAGGAAGCTAAAGGTTCCCAAGCCTATAAAAATCACAACCAAATCACAAAATAAAATGCACTCTGACCCTAGATATACTTCATAATAGCAGCTACCCCAGTCGTAGCTTCTATGACCCATTTTATTCATTCTTTAGAATCATATGTGATTCCTAAGCTACATGATTTAAGATGGGAGGTAAGTTCTTCTATATATATATATATATATATATATATATAATGCTATCTGTAGACTGAAAGTACAAGTATTATTCTGTAGAAATTTATGAAATGTTTTAATGTAAAAAAGAAGCCTTCATACTCAAATATACTATGAAGCTCTCCTACAGATTAGGAGATAAAAGTGCCAGAGAAGAGTTAAGGAAGCCATGCAATAGAAAAAGAACTCTCCAGGGGTCCTTAATAAATTCGAGTCTTCATAGTTATGGGTCTCTTCCCCATTGGTCATTCATTCATTCAAGACACTTTTAATGTTATATAAATACTGAAGATTGTCTCTATTTAAATTAAAACATTGGTCAGAATATGTTGTCTCCCAAACACACTTCTCTTCCCTCCCTGCCTTTGCCTGTACTATTTCATCCACCTGTAATGCCCATGTCCAATTTTCAGCTTCTCTTCCTTCTTCCCAACCAGCTTCCTAAATTCCTATTCAGATTTCCATGGCAAATGCAATCTTCTTTATGGTAATATCTTACATATGCCCTGGGTTGAATTAATCTCTCTCTCCCCTATGCTCCAGACTACTTGAAGTTATGGAATATTTACTTAGTGTGCCTTATGTTTCTGCCTCCCCCAAGAAGTTGGAAAACATGCCTAATTCTTTGTATTACAAAATGCCACAAATGAAGGAGGTGCTACATAAATGTTACTGAAGTCAAAACAAAACTCACAGTTGTGTTTTTCTGTTTCACCATAGAAACATCCTCCACAGCAACTCTTTATAAATTCTGTTGCCATTACTTCAATTTCCAATATTCAGCAAAAGATACAAACTTCCAATCTTAATATTAATCTGTTGGTAGAATAGAAAACAAGTTAACCTGCTTGTCATGCTTAATACCATTAGATATTACTAAATAAACCACATTATCCGTCTTTTTAAGACATAATGAGGATTCTGAAACAAAATTACTTAAGAGGAAGACAGATTTTTCTAACCATATGAAATCTTGTATAACTTATTTATAAGTTATTAAAATTATATGTTTAAAAATTACTAAATGAACAATCTCAATATTAAAATCTGAAAAAAAGAAAAATTCCATTCTCAATTTTCTTTCACGAAAAATAAGATGGACGATTGAGTGGAGAGACAGAGTAACGGAGGGGGTGGTGTTTATGAGAGAGAGAGAGGGAGAGAGATAGATAGAGAAGGGACAGTGTGGAAAAAGAACAGCAACATGGAAGAAACACAGAAAAACAAAGAAAAAGAGAGAGAAATAAGAAAAAAGAAAGAGGTAAACTCAGACATTTGCTGATAAAACAGCAAGAACCTAAGACAAGAGCACATAGAATTAGGAAGAAATGTTTGGGAAGGGAGATGAAAAGGGAAAAGTCAAAAAAAAAAAAAAAAGTCAGGGGCAAACCTAGAAATAGAGAGTGGAGACTAGACAGCAGGAGAGTGTGAACTGAGGCAGAGAGAAAGAGATAAGAAATAAAGAGGGCAAGAGTAGAATGAAGCGGAGAGAGAGGGAAGGAGAAATGCAGATGAGAGCAAGATGAGAGGTACAAAAGGGCAGGGAAATCAAAGAAGAAAAAGAAGGATGGAGAAAGAGGTAAGAAAAGGAGAGAGGGGAAAACACAAAATGTAAAAGAAAAGAGATGAAAAAATGTTCAAAGAAACAGTGGAAGTTATAAACTGAAAAAAGGATGAAAGATGAGAAAAGGGGAAAAAGATTGAGATAGAGAAGCAGAGTAAATTTAGGAGCACTGGTCGAAGAACACAAAATTAGTTTTGATAGGAGAAATAGGTTGAATAGCTCTATTGTACTCCATGTGAATACAGCTAATGAAGATTTGTGGTACTCTTGAGAGATGCTAAGGCTGGATGTTTAATGTTCTCTCCACAAAAATAACTACGCCAGGTAATGCAGATGTTAGCTAGATTTAATAATTTCACAATGGATAGGCACTTCAAAACATCACATTGTATACAATAAATACATACAATTTGGTCAATTTGAAAAGTAAAGACAAAGCATATTTAAAAAATGTAGAGAGAGAGTGGTAAAGGAGATAGGGTTAGAGAGGTAGGAGAATACAGGGATAAATAAAAACAGACTAGGAGAAATGGAGATGAAATTAAAAAGCTGATAGGGAAAGAAACTAAGTATCTTAAAGGAAAGTTTACTCATTATTATATTCTAATAAATACACATACAGTATAACTAAAACAATTTTTCTCTTTCACCTAATCTATCTAAATCTATGTCCAAGCAAAAGTTAAAAGAAAACATGGCACTGCATAAAAAGTGTGAGAAAACATTCACTTCCTCCAGATCAATTATTCTGGTAATTCAAAGGCCCTATAACGGGCACCAATAAACAAATAAACTGCATACTTCATGAATTATTTTAATCTTTAGAGTTACACTAATAGAAAAGTATACCTTAAGCACTACATCACATACATACAAAAAGACACTACAAATAAGACATAGTGCAAATAAAGGAAGTCTATTTTATATTTACCAGGAAATTAAATGTGTAAGAACTTCATGTCCAATTTCCTATTGTCCTTGGTCTCAGTGCCTTTATTCTATTTGCACTCTCTTCATTTATGCCTACTTAAAAAAACTCCATACGTTTTTCACAGGAGGTTTTAAACATATGCGAAGTATAACAAAACCCTAATCACTCAGATTAAAATAATTATCAACTCATGGCAAATCTTATTTCATCTCTGCCTCCCCATTTACCCTGTCCTTTGGATTATTTTGAAATAAATTCTAATCATATAATTTCATCCATAAATACATAAATAATGATCTCTAAAAGATGTGGCAAAGGACTTAGGAGTTAACTTCAAGGGGTTCTCACTGGCTGAAGATGAATCATTTCAAGTATTAATACAAACAGTAACTGTAATGAATGGTAACATATCAAATATTTCTAAAACATTGCTCTTTTTAAACATAACCATAATAGTATTATCGTGTGTAAAATAATGCCATCAACTACTTGTTCACTGTTCAAATTTCCCCTATGGTCTCAATTTGTATAGCTGTTCTGTTGAAATTAAGATTAAATTTTAAATTGTTTCATCTTTTGTTATTAGAAATAGTGCCACAGTAGCTTTGTGCAAACATATTTCTCAGGTATTTCTCAGTATATATCTTAAGATGGATTCCTAGAGATAAGACTATGGGGTCAAAAGGTGTATATATGTAATTTTGCTTGTACTGCCAAAATTCTCTCTGAAGCACATCATTTTGCATTCCCAATAGCAATATATAAGAGTATCTTTTTCTGTTACCAACAAAATACATTGTCAAACTGATGGACTTTTGCCAATGTGATAGGAAAGAAATGATATATTGTGTTGTTTTAATTTACATCTCTCTTATTATAAGTGATGTTGAGCTTCCTGTCATATAAGATTAATCTGTAATTGTTTCTATGAATTCTATTCACTATCTCCTGCTGATATTTTCATAAAGCTGTTGGTCTTTTTCTTCTCCAGTTTTTGAAGCTCTTTAGATATTTCAGAGACTAACACTTTGTCCATTATACAAGTGGCAAACATCCTTCTGGTTTGTCGTTTGTCTTTTCACTTTGATTATGGTGTTTCTGCTATGCAAAAGTGTGTGTGTTATGCAAATCATAAAATAATTTACCCATATGTTCTTCAAGTACTTAGTACAGTGTTATTTTCTATACTGACATCCTGCTATACAGTATGAGAAATGGATTAAAACTTACCTCTTCCCAATTTACTATCTCAACACAAACACCATATATTAAAAATTCTGTATTTTCTCCACTTACAGGATGCTCCCTTTAGTACACATTAAATTTCCATATGCAATTGGGTTTATTGTGTATTTTCTAGTCTCTTCAATTGTTCTGTCTATTCCTGTACCAATAGTATATCATTTTAATCTTAAATTCATATACCATGTTATAACATGTAGCAAGACAAGTCATCTTTACCCCTCTTCACTTTCTGCATTTTCTTAGCTATTCTTGCTTGTCTGCTCTCGAAAATGAACTTTATAAACTGTCTAGCCTTAGGAGGAAAAATCTGATGGTACTTTCATCAGGATATTAAACTTATAAATTATTTTTTTAAAACTGACATCTCTAAGAATATTGAGTCTTCCTACACAGAACATAGTATATCTTTACATTTGTTCAAGTTTATGCTATGCCTTTGGGAGTTTTTATAGTTCTCATAAAAATTCTGAAGATTTCTCATTAAGTGTATGCCTGTATAATTTGCTTGACTATCATAAATGGTATCTTCTCTTCTATTACATCTTGTGACTATTTCCATTTTTTAAATGTATACATTTTCAAAAGCCCTGTTCAGCCCCAGCATATCAGAGTAAAATACTCCGTAACCACCCAAATCAAACGAATAGTCTCCCATTTCTAAATGTCTAGAGTCTTTAAAAAAAAAAAAAAAAAAAAGTTTAACATTTTTCTTAACATTTGATGAGATCTTGTTCTATCTCCCCCGTTAGAATATAAACTGTTCAAAAACAATATTGTACTCGCTTTCTGCTTAGCACTCAGCACACTACATGATGCTGGGAATATAGTTGGAACTCATCAAATACCTAGTTGATAGATAAGGAAACAAAGTACAACTATCTCCCATAAAAACTCACAATACATTCATCAAATCACATCTCTGACCCCAATCAGCTTGCAAATACCTAACGTTAATCATGACAGCAATGTGGAAGAATTGGTTAAAAATGACTGCTACTTCAAGTGGAAAAGTTCTCAACACTGATGGCCTTGAGTCATCCAAAACGAGTTGGGGAAGATGGAGGAAGGTAGTAGAAAGAGTGAAAAGTTTATATGAATGAAATGTGAAATCTGCTTAAAATGAACACCCAGTAATACACTACAGGAAAGACAGTTAAAAAACACAAGGATATTTTACTTTTGTAAAAAATAGAGTAACAGGGACAGATTTACCCTACCACCTGAAAAGCAAATAAAATATATGGAACAGCAATTTTCAAGACATTGGCTATCAGACAGCAAAGAACTGAGAAACAGGAACTGAATGAAGTAAGCCTTTCACCTTACTCCCTTGAAGGAGTTTCCAGGCCATGGGAATTTACCCAGGCAAAGCTGAGTAGATTTTCTGAAATGAAGAGACAAAGCTGAAAGTATGTGGAGAATAAGGCAGCGAGAGTGCATAACAGACTACTATAGAATAAAGAGGTACATATAGAGAACAATGGAGATCAGCAGAGGGTCCCACTCAAGTATTCAACAGAGTACTGATCAGCACACACACAAAAAAGGAAGCTACACAAGACTGAGAGGGAAAAACACCAGAAAAAATTACAAAAACCATACATAACTGGTATTCACCAAGGTCAGGAGTGATGCCTGTCCCCATAAATCAGACTGGAAAAGGGATCAAATTGTTTACACAAAACTTAACTGTGTCCCAAAGCAAATTTACAGAAATCCAAAAATATCCAGCATACAAGGTAAAACTCACAATGTCTGGTATCCAATAAAAAAAGTACCAGGTATGCAATGAAGCAAAACATATATAGAACCCATAATGAAGAGGAAAAAAAAAAAAGCAATCAATTAGAAACAACCTAAAATTGAGGCAAGGCAGTTGAGGACATTAAAATAGTTATAGCTGGACTCGATATGTTCAAAAGGTTAAGTAGAGATATGGAAGATATTAAAAAGAGCCAAATCCAGTCTCTAGAGATGAAAACTATAATGTCTGAGATGGAAAATATACTGGATGGGATTAATACCAGATTGGATATTAAAAAAGAAAATATTAATGAACTTGAAGGCACAGTAAGA